AATTGATGCTCGTATTAATTACGCAGATCACGAGAAACTCCGTCTTCTGCCCATCACTAAATATTATGCAAAGATTTTGTCTCTCTCTGCTTACATTTTATACTTTGCGCACAATTCTCAACACTAAGTTTGCTATGTAAATTTTCTTAAATTTGTCCCGCTTCTAATGTTTTTTCTCTGTTTTTGATTCGGGATCTGATATGATAAGATTGTGAATGTCTGCATTCGTCCATTATATTCGTGACTTCGCCTGTGGGTTCTATATAATATAATTATTAACTACATAATTATCATGTGTCAACTTAACTTACGTTCAGTCTGTACTCAGCTCTCCTAATTAATTTAAGTGAGTTTGTGATCGTGGTTTGTTATTGTCAATGTAATCTTTATTGTCCACTGCAATAATCTTTTAATGCAGTTTTTCAAAGCCTTATTCTCGCACGTTACCGGTTGCCTCATTTTTTTCATCTTTTGAGTTAGTTTAAACAATCGCGTCCCTGAGCGCAAAACATTAACATCGAAAAGCACTTTTTGTGTGAAAATAAGGGACGTGGAAAGCAATTTTCTATAGCCGGTATATCACTCTTTCCTCGTGAAAGAGATCCGAACCATTTCTGATAGACGTGTCTAAATATGTCGCATATACAACATGTCTGATACGAGTCTAGACATTTCACTTGAATACTAACTATATCATGTGTGAAGAGAGTGGACATGTACCATAACAACGAGTAAGATCATGTCTTGTGCGAGTCTTTAAACAAGAGTTAGATCATGTCTGTAACAAGTACGAACATGTCGCATAAAAAGATCTAAATCGCGTCTAATTAGAGCTTGGACTTGGCATAAAACAATGATCATGTCTGACATAATTCTAGACATGTTTCAGTAGTCCAACCCGCGTACTATTCGTTATGGAGGGTTTGGTTATCTCCGAATATTGTTCCAGGTTCCGTTTAAATCCTGTCGCATAATGGAAACTATATAAAAAATAATTTTAAATCATTAATTGGTTGTAAAAGCACAGTTCTGCCGTACTCCTTACTCCTTGTTGCTGCTGCCATTGCATTACATTCCGTTATCAAGAGCTACATTTTGTAACATGTTGCGAGATTACCATTCCCAAACATGTTCTTGAAATGCCTTAAACTCGTCGTTGGGCAGGACTTATGTGATGTAAATACATTCAGGTATGAATTATAATAGCTGATTATTTTATTTGCATATATTGGTCTGTATATATTGTAAATGTGATAGCCTATAATGGTATGTCTCTTTGAATTGTGACATGTTGCCCTCACTTCTGCTTAGCCCACTGGAATACTGTCGGTAACCATCGTTACCATTCCTTAAGGTGTGAACTTCATTGACACGGTTACTGTATGTGAGAACAGATGGTTACCTTTGTGTCATCTGAGAGTAACTATCGTTACCATTCCTTAAGGCGTGAACTTCATTGACACGGTTACGGTGTGTGAGAACAGAAGGTTACCTTTGTATCATCTGAGAGTAACTATCGTTACCAGGCCTTGAGGTGTGAACTTCATTTACACGGTTACTGTATTTGAGAAGAGAAGGTTACCCTTGTGTCCATGGAAGGTAACTTGCGTTACCAGCATTGACGTCAATGGATGTATCAGTAACCAAAAGTTCAGATGCGGAAGCTATAAACTCGTCTTTATTTTCATTTATTTGTTGTCAGCCGAGATAAACTCGATGCACATTCGTACACATAAGTGATATTGACTTTGTTTCTTTTTCTAGTAAATTTTCAGATGTTTTCATGACTAAATCCCTAAATATTTAATGAATGAAATGGAATGTTCATAGGATACGATCTACAAATTGGCCTTTTGTGTTAAGTTGTTTGTAGAATTAAATTTTTTTTTGTCCTGGAAAGTGGAGTTCAGTTAAATTTTGCGGACCTTGTTTCGTTCCTTTCAATAGTCTCATCTCGTTTATCATTACATCGTTCTAAACTATGTGAGGAAACTTAAAATTCAATTAACTTGAATACGTGTGTGCTCGAGGGCATCTATGACAGTTTAATATTTTAGCCAAAACGAACTTGGTCTGCACTTATAATATTGCTGCATTCCTTTCGACAAGCAGATTAACGTAAAACAGGAGAAAAATCGTTAATGTATTTAGCGCAAGGAAAATAACTTCCTTTTAGGTTAACATAACATTTTGGGTGATTTGTATAAATAGGTACATAATTCATGTACCACTGCGCAATGCCGAAATTATTGTTAAATGTTAACACGACTTCATGCAAGACGAACCTCTTCATTCAATATCTCCTTATCAGAATTGCCCAAAAAAGGTTTAAATCGCAGGGTAGCAATCATACTTCTCCAAATAATAATTTTCATAATCATTTTATATCCAATTTATTTAATGATGATCTCTAACGTACGTAAGAGAGACCTAATAGTTGACTAATCCCTACTGACATATGTCGAGAATTTCGTAGTCCAACTATAGAGCATATCTTCATGGCGTCTTCTCATTGCCTCTAATAAATCTTGATCAACTTCCATATTACCCTTGAAAAATTAACGTATTGACGTAATCTTCATGTAAATATTTCGTGTAGAACTTTGAACTTTTTCAACGGTACATGAGGCATTGAATGCTCCTCACGCAACATGCGCTAGTTTAATATAATCACTTGAAAATTCGCAGTCAGTTTTATAAGCTCTTGAATCGTCCTGGCTACGAAAAATTTGTGCCCGAGACTCAACACGATCAGTTGTTTGTGCCCGAGATTTCAAACAGTTTTTGCGCCGCCCGAGATTACGATCAGTTTTGCACCGCCCGAGATTACGATCAATTTTACGCCGCCCGTGATTTCAATCAGTTTTGCGCCACCAGAACTCAGTAATACACATCAGAAGCCTGAACCAAAATTAAAACCAATTTAAATTCGCTTAAAACTATTACCGCCAGTGTACTCGTGTGATGAGTATTGTTACACAAGATATTAGCTGAAGTCTGTGCATTAACGAATTTATGGTAGAGCCATGTGATTGTCGTTCTATTTTTCGTAGTTAATATCATCTGTTCGATAAGCCTGTTATACAAGGTCTGTGCGAACCAGCGTATCTCAAAACCTTAAGGTTAAGATCTCTCCATTAGCAAAACTATAATCATTCTGACTGATCAATTTAAAAATGATTAAACATGTAAATTAAAATATTGGTAGTTTCTAAAATATTATTGTACGCGAATTTTCGTGTTATGTAGTTCAAGAAACTCTCAATCTTCCTATACTCAATTTTTGTTATCAAACTCAAGAACATTAGTAAAGAACGCCAATCGTGAATCAAATTCTGATATATGTCAAACTTTATCATCGAGGATTTAACGTTCAACATTGTTTTGAAATTACACGATTATTTTCTTTGTATTTTTAAATAGACCTTAATACCTTAAATTTATATGCTTCAAAAGCTGTGGGTTTTCTGCAGGTTGATTCATAAAATTTATAGTATCGCCCTACAATATAATGAATTTTTCATCGTAATGCCAAAACTTTTCCCTCAATTTAATCCAAACGCCATGACTTAATGAATCTTCCAATGAGTCGCCTTGTCTATTCTACGCGTGTTCAATTTACGCAGTAATTACCCATGCATTGGTCATTTTGCGTGGTAAAAGAATGTAAAGGATCTGTGAGAATCTCGCATGAATGTTGTCGTAATGTAAGTTAAGATAACTTGAGAGCAAATGATGTTTAGGTGCTATACTGTACACATTCGTAGTTCAGAAAACGTGGACTGTCATCTTGTGTTGTTAACGAATGTTTTAGCGCTTGAGTGCAAACGTTTTGTCCCTCCATTCGGAATAATGAGAAATGTTATTCTCAGAGATAGAGTTCGTTATTGTCATTGGATATTTTTACAATAGTGAAACAAATTGTTAGTTGAAAACTCAGTGCTTTAAGACTATGAGTGTCACGCAAAATTCGGAAATTATTAAAAAATTATGTCATAAACTTAGAGAAAGAAACGTTAATTTACATATTACATATAACTGTGTCGTGGTAGAGTGGGATTATTTGACCGTCTTAAATATGTCGAATGAAGCATCACTGGGAACGTTTAATCATCAAATGGTCGAGAGGGTAAATGGTGTAGTGTAAACATGGATATTATAGAAAACAATCAAATTTATGGGCGACTGAATTGAAATTACCACGCTTCAAAACAATGAATTGAGATAGATTAATAGATTGATTGAAATAGGAAATGATCAAAACTGCGGAAAATTGGAGTTGGTATTGACGTGAAACTGTCTGCTCCGCAAAATCTGCTGAGAGATCTTTTGAATTTTTTTTCTGTTTAATATTCTTGCCGTGTTAGAATTCTTACTAGTCATCTACTCTTTTGTGCTAGGTATACAGCAAAAATAAAAAAATCTTCTGTGTCGTGTGTTGGTTTTCCTTGGGGAGCATAGTGATCTTTTGAATATGTGATGAACATTAATTAATTAATTTCGCATGGTTGACTCTGGTTTTTACTGAAATCATTTTGACAGTCAAGCCAATTACAGTCTCCAGCGCACAAGCGTAAATATTCATTTGTTTGCACCTCTGGATAATTTGACTATTCACGTAATAGGGTCAGGAATGCTTTGAAATTAAAAAGACAGTGAAGACGAACTTTGATAAAATCGAATAGCGTGAGTATCGCGTCCCAGGGATGAATTCCTAACAACTAAGTTATAAATTAATTTTTATTTGAATAATTTGATGGGAGTTTACAGTCAAGGAAATCGAAGTGTGCGGAGATCCATGAAAGATGTTCCAGATAATTCAAGATTCTCTGACCCATGACCAGCAAGCATCGGCATTGCATCATACAACTTCGTCACACGCATTGCATTATAGTTCTATTAGTTCACGTTGTTTGAGCTTGGCACATAATGTACGTATTCAATCATTTCAATGCTCAGACTTCAGTCTCAGACTCTCAGTGCTCAGTATTCAGTAGCACCTAAGGTTTGTTCGAGAGAGGTTGTGTGTCTTGATGCTGGTGAGCTCCACAAATGTGACGCCGCGCATTCGCAAGTTAATGTAGCAACTCTTGTAATGAATGCAACCGCTTTCGAATTTTAAGGTTTGTCTTGTGTATAAAGTTATTGTGTCTCTCAATTCCGGAATCAATAAGAACTACGATCCATATTCTATTTTAAATCAACCTAGCCGTCTGATAACGTGGTTCAGAGATAAAGTTGCTTTCGTCACACCTGTGATGAGGCTGTGACAGGAATCACTTATCTGTACTTGAGTAAGTTGAGGTCAATTTTCAGTTTCACAAGTTTTGTGTGTAATAATACGACAAATTATTTTATGCTCATTTGATCTTAACCTCAGCGTCGAATACAGAATAATTTCATGACCACACTGGTATGTCAGGTGCTTGGAAACTAAGGTACGGTACCTTCGACATAATAGTGGCTTTGAAGATAAAGAAGAAGATTAAGGAAAGTGGCAAAGTGTCTACTGTCTAGTGTTTAGCTCCTCCGAACTATTGCATTCCTAAATGAACAAGTGCAAAAATGCGTGGTTTTACATTGATTCACTCTCACTGTCTTGGCTCTTGGAATTTTTTTTTGCCCTTGCAACATTTTCACACGTCAGTTACAGGAATCGAGTGTTGCAGCTGAAGGACAGCTGTTCCAAGTAGTACCTAATTAAAGGAGAACTAAAGCTTGTCAAAACATCAGTGAAGACCTCCTGTTGAAGACCTGGACAAAAACGCGGCCTGTCTCACGGCCGTTCTCTCGGCCGTAGACAGGCCGCGTTTTTGTACAGGAGGTTCAGTGAAGTGAGATGTTGAAACGTAAATTTATTCCGATGTTGATAAATGTTTTACTTTTCAGCTACATAAACTAGGCTTGTTTAATTTATGTCGAAATAACTTGATTTCGTTCAGCGTTACTAGAAACCAAAATTAGTCTAAAGGTTCGATATATCAAGTGTGCGATTTTTAACTGTGACGAAACTCGAACTAGTTAACCTCATTTCGATCAATAAATAGGTTCCCGTGTATTGTAGTGACTAGCAGAAGATGGATAATGGTGAATATCATCCTCCTCCTCCATACTTCCCCATGTTGGGTGATCAATCGTCGTATCCTCCTCCGCCCCCTTATTCCGCCCAGCCTCCACCTGGTAGCTTTTCATCTTTCCCATCTCCCCCTCCTGCATATTCCCCACCTGGAGCCTACTACCCCCACCCTCAACAATTTCCCTTGTACAATGCATACGCACAACAACCTAACTTCATTTCACCAGCAATTCCTCAACAAAGTTTCCCACTAAACCCAAACCAAGCCACAGCTCCTCCGCTCTATCCTAACCTTCCTCCTCTCGACTCTACGTTTGTCCCGAGTAGACCCGCGCCTCCGCCACCAAGACCGCCTCCACCAACCGTCCAGCAACCCACCATTGGTTTTGGCGACTCTTCTATTCCGAGTGATGGTGAGCAAATAAATAGAGAATTTTACTTTCTGGGTAATTGAAAACTTGCCTTGAAGTGGTAGCACGATTATTCAGAAAAATTGTAAACCTCCTGGAAATGTACCCTAAATGTAAACATTCTCAGAAAAATGTAAACATCCTGGATCACTTGCCAACAGCCGCTTTTCGTCTGCTAGATTATTTCAGTTTCTCTCATTTTTGGCTAATTTGTTCAACCTTTTCCTTCTAACTTCCCCTAGCGGTAATGTCATAACCGTAATAAGAAAAATGTGTGACGTGCACATTAGCCATGTTTTGGTTCTCGTCTCATTTAATTGTAGTGGAAATTGAGGTACAGTCTGATATGGGGATAATAGGACATTATACCTATATATTAAAGGGTATAATACCTCCTCTCACTGCCTCGTCAATCAATGCACTGACTTTACTACCCTAAACTTTTGCTAATATTACTCTTTAATGAATATACAATATAATAATATTCTGGTTGCAGGTATTGATGCATTGCGATCGATGTGACTGCAGAAGCAGAGCAGCTAGGCCGTTCACCTCGTCTAAAGTTGATCTTGCTTTTGTTTCATGTCGCAAACCCTCCATTGTTTAATCGTGGGATTTTTGCGAATTCGTAGAACAATAGAGATGATGATAAATAATTTTGATGAATAGAGGAAACTAATGAAAATATTTTCATTGCTTTTGTACATGATTAAGCCTTTTATTGCCCTAATGCGTACATAGAGAAGTCGAACAAAAATACTATTGTCTATAATTCTGTCATCAGCTGTCGATGCAAGGTGGAGCAATCTTCTGAGCAGCACACACGGCAGTCATCCTGGCTACGCCGTCTGCAGCGACAAGGTAATGTGAAAGTGGATTTGATGTGATGGTATGGTGTGGTAGATGCTGTGATGTGGTGCTACGGTGTGGTAGGTGCAGTGGTGTGGTATTCCCACAGATGTCTGACTGCATGCTATGGTGTGGTGCTACGGTGTGGAAGGTGCTGTGGTGTGGTGCTACGGTGCAGTAGATGCTGTGGTGTGGTGCTACGGTGTGGTAGGTGCAGTGGTGTGTGGCTACGGTGTGGTAGATGCTGTGGTGTGGTGCTACGGTATGGTAGGTGCAGTGGTGTGGTATTCCCACACATGTCTGATTGCATGCATTGGTGTGGTGCTACGGTGTGGTAGGTGCAGTGGTGTGGTATTCCCACACATGTCTGACTGCATGCTGTGGTGTGGTGCTACGATGTGGTAGGTGCTGTGGTGTGGTGGACGGAGGAAGACTCACGCTGGCATCACATCCCTGCTTCTAAAATTAACGCCTGTGTTTTGGGCCATCGCTAGCTTGCGCTCTTTCTCTGACTGCGCACTATTCTGAAGTACCTACGTAGAATGTATAAAATCTGTGTTTGGACATTTTTACACAAAAAATTAAGTCTTAAATATCTTACAAAAGGTTTGGGAAAATTGTTTAATTTCGTTGTTGATATCCTCCGTGGTTGAATGTGTTTAACACTTTAACTTGCCAGTAACATCGGTGTTGTGTTATGTGATACTCACCCAGTGAACGTTTTGGCAGAAATAAATTGGTTTTAAAATAGAAACTAATGTGGTTCTTACCAAGTGTACGTTTTAGCAGAAATGCGTTGGGTTTAACATAGAAACTAATATTCTCACCCAGTGAACGCTTTTGCAGAAATATGTTGGGTTTGAATTAGATAGGTACTGATGTGCGTCCGCCTTTATTTGGTTGTTTGGAAAAATTATTTTCCTGCTTGCTGATCAGCTTTTATTAACGCTTCCCAAGAATAGATTAGTGCTGCGTCTTGTGACGTATAGCGACTTCCGGTCAACCATTGTGTGATCGCGTTCTCAGTAGCGCAGTACTTTCCAAACTTTTTGTATTGGCACTCAATTTAACAAACCGCTATTTGCATATTACCATTTTTACACGTTCACAAATGTTTACACTATTTCTCCATTTATATATATAGCTAAGTTCAAACACTTGCCCCTCTATCATAACCGGAGCATAAATAAATTTCCTCTAAGGATTAACTTTCGTCAGTTCCTTAAATTCTACAACTACAACTACAACTACTTAAATTCTACAACATCGATACAAACACATGGGCCTAAATAAATATAACGACTAAAAACTCGAAACATTTTCCACATCTTGTGTCTTAATATGATATTTATTTATTTTTACATTTTCCTCCATTCGGCATCGTGGCCAAGCTTATAGTTAACAGTAGAATGCACTCGTATATTCATCTGATGTATTTTAAAGGTTATTTCTTCTTTCAGTCCTGATATTTCACAAGACGTCACGTTTCTATTCAACTTTATCAAATTGTTTCGATGTTTGCATGCTTTTCGATGCAAAGAAAAATCGGGTTCTAAGATTACAGATAAATTGATATCGATTCAATCATGATCTTTTGGATGGCTAACGTGAATGCAAGTACTAGACACGGTTTTTAAATGCAATATTTTTAAATGCAATGGTTTTATAAACATTTTTGTAAAATCAATTACGTGTGGGAAAACCATGCAGTCTCCTTTCATGTGGTTAAGGTGAGTTAGCGTGACGTTACAGTTACATATATGTGATACAATATATTCTTGCACGTTTATTCACAATGACGTTTTTGCGTTTTTTTCGCGATCTCAAATCCTTCCTTCGCCATCCATTTTCGAATTCTTATGTTGACTTGTCAATCTCGTAGGTACTTTAAACTCGCGCTCAAAACCTGCTCTTGTTCTTGACGATAGCTAGTTTCAAATTTGTATGTTATCTCTACATTGTAGGTATGTTAGTTGTGCAACACTATAACTTAGTATTTACTATGCTGGGCTGCGTATGCTCTTACTTAACTCGGACATCTCACCGTACCGCAACTGGGAAGCCTACAAAATTTTTATGGCTCTCACAGCCACAGCTTTAATGTTGGCCCACTTATTTAATGCAATTATGCATTCAGCAGTTACCGTTATTAATAATAGATCATTTGAGTGGGACTCGTTCTTAATAAATAAGTGGAAACTATATAATATTCAAAAAATCAATTTAGGGTACGGACGTGAATTTATTTTATGCATGTCGAACTGTGAATCGGATGCAGTTCAGTGATATTTAAAGAAAATTGCTTTGTCACCAATCACTTGATTTCATAATGCCCCGGTTGCCAAGGTGCTGAACAATCATTTGTTCAGTCAATCGAGGAAGAAATCCTCTATCATATAATTACGTCGTTCCATTTTTAATTTAAATAGCGTTATCATTTCAGTTGTTATAAGGAACTATTCCTCATAGCCGTATCTAGGTGTCAGGTAACAAGGTATGTATACATGCATTGTTCTGTTTGCGCCTTTATTTCTGCTTTTCGAGTTTGTACGAATTTAACTACATCGAAGTATACGAAAAAAATGTAAAAAGACCAAGAAGGCCTTCTTTTATAAACTACATCCGTGTTTCTGACGTCTGTAGGACATGACACTTTTTTAGATTAGCTGCTCGAAGCTCTTGTTTTTATAATTCTGGTCGTGTTGACTCATTTACGCTAGTTGATACTTCAGGACCTTCCGCTTTTTTTAACAAAATATTTATTAATTCACTGTATGTCCGCCGCTCTCTATAAATTAGATGATTGATGTATATCTTTATTTATTCCGATTGGACATGCTGTGCCCCAATTTTCTGAAAGTCGCGTTCCACATTACGGGGTCTGAACTATGTTTCACTGTTTCTTGCTCTGCTAATCAAATTTAATGGCGCAATACAAAAGTTACAAAGTTCACTCGTTAACATGCAATTAAGTCTCATATTTTCAATGTTACAAAAATTTAAAATTCACAATTTCGTTTCTGGGTCATCTCACTTCCACACTGATAGAAATGAAGAAACTTTATTCAAATAGCGATAAACATTTTGCCCCTGTGTGGGCCACCCTGACCCAGTTTTGCAGAGCAAATTGTATATCATTGCAACGCTCGATAAATGTATCACTTTTTGGGACAAGATGACTCATTAATTTTTCTGAATGCAGGACACGCCGCTGCCGGCGGCGCTGAAGGAGCGCTGGCAGTGTGGGGGCGCTAGCTTGTTCCTCCTCCAGCACGACGGTTATGTTGTGGCGCCAGCGCATGAAGTCTTCCTTAAAGTCTACCTCAATCCAGGTATATAAGTGTCAGAATTCGATCACTCATGGTCTGAAACTAATACTGGAAATACTTGACAGCTTACATGCCATTTATCAGAGAAATATACCTGTTGCGTTTAATATTAGCAATTGGAGTATGCTTTGCTATGTTATCTATCTTGCATTTTTAGCGTCTGTCCGTCCGTCTGTCCGTCCGTCTGTCCGTCCGTCCGTCACTTCACGTTTTCGTTGACGAGAAAATGCGCTCTCTGTCACTCATTGCAGTGAGTACTGAGTTATATTTATTTTTATCATGAATGGCAATGGCGGTAACTTGTTCCCCAGATTTTGATGCCAGTCGCTGCCCCTCCCGACGAGGAAGCCTCCAGTACAGCCTCGATAACAGCCCCACAGGGACCCCGGGTCGCAACTCCCCCAGCGGGTCCATCTACAGTAAAACTTCTGCTGAGTCGAGGCCTTCCCCTTCTGGTGCTGCGGACGCTCAGCAATATTCGCTGCTTGTGGAATGCCCTCGGATCTGCAGGCTCAAACTTTCCCCCGCTAGAGGCCACGCTCTTGTTGACCGAGAATTTATATCTTTTGTCGACCAAGNAGCTTCAAAGTGAATAGGGTTGAACTATTTGTCCACGGATACTTACAGTGTTGGTAATGCAATTCTAAACTTCCCCCCGCTAGAGGCCACGCTCTATAAAGTAAAAGCATTTGTCCAGGGATACTTTAACTGTCAAGGCACTAAAGCTTGTACGTGTGGGAGCTTCAAAGTGGATAGAGTTGAACTATTTGTCCACGAATATTTTAACTGTTGTTAATGCAATTCAAATCTTTAATGTCCTGGTAACTGACGTTACCGTCAATGTACAATGAGTTAAATTGTCGTGCTGTTGAATTACTTACAATAGTTCACTGTGATAGTTTATGATAATTAGATATAAGTATTACATCCCAAGTAACTTCTGTCGTACGATTATAGGGGTAAAGTCAATACAGCATTTAAGAGGAAGTTATGTTAATTTAACCAATTCAGATATTTTTTGGGTAATTAAAATTTACCGATGAGCCGCAACTAATTTCTGCAACTGGAATTTCAATTTTTTACCAGGTCGCAGCGTGGTGGTGAAATTTCCACGAGGTTTAGACTCGCGTAAGTTGGAAGAGCTCACACAGCTGCTGAGTCAGCACGCCTCGATAACAACTGATAACAACGGCATCCTCACGACTGTGTCCTCTAGCGTCGAGTCTGGTGAGTTGTGTGTCATTAAACGGTATTATAAAGCCTTCAATTTTGAAACAACAACGAATGTTTATTCAATATATAAAATCGCCGCTTTGAACATTGTCAAATACGCCTATTGAAATAACAACGAATGTTTACTGAATGTTGAGAATCGCCGCTTCCAACATTGTCAAATTTTCCTATAGGTCCGTCACTACCCGTTACATTCGGATTTTAATAGAGTAATTTAGTGCGTTAGTATCAATTATTAGTACTTAATTTTAATATCAATGTTTAAATGATTTTCTGTGTTGGTCACAGCGTTCAACTACTCTTCCAAGCTGGGCAGCGACTTACTGAAGGACTACGCACCAGGAATTGCTAAATCTACCAAATACTTCCGAAAGGGCGCTGGAAATTTAGGCGAGTTTTATATCTTTTTTTTTTACTTAAATTTTAACCTTAATTCCTAATATACGCAACCAAATTGTTTGTCTGTTATTTTAATTTAAATTGAAAGTTATTGTGATAACAATTACCCCTATTAAACTTAACCTAATTGTTTGATTTTGTCTCCTCGTTTAATTTCAACTCTTCTTCTATACCGAGAAAATGAATAATTTTGCACAATATTATTATTAATTTGCATTCTCGTATTCTACACGCTATAATTTAAAAGACAAGTATAGGAAACATTTTTAAACGTTTATTATGAGCTTATCATTTTCTATGTTATTTATTTTCTTTGTTCAAGGGAAAACAGTCGTGCGCGCTGTGACAGTGATGATTTTTTTGTGAATCTTTCTCCAGCTATACCAATCAATCAAATATCCGGATTTATTTGTCATTAAAGTCCTGATATCCATTTTATTTCTATCCTGCTATCCATTATTTTTATCCTTCTATCCATTTATTTTCAAAATCCTGCTATTGAGTTTGTATTAATTATTTTAAATGCGTTTCTGCCTGCAGTTCGTTTGGGCGGGTCGTTGATGACCAAGGGAGCGTCTCTTGTGGCCGAGACGGTCGCACCAGTTTCCAAGGATGAAAAGGCAGATAGTTCTACAATATATTTTCTATAAAATGAAAATATATATATCTTTTTCTTTACAGAAACTAGGACAGTTAATTCTTTCTGCTCATTGGCTTCTGGTGACTTGTGATACAATTGATATAAATTATTTTGATACGAGAAGATGAAATTTCGTTGCCTTTTTTCTATCGGGAATATTTTCTCGCGTTTCCTGTTCTAATTCGCAGCTCCGAACACATAAAAATAGCGTATATTTTCTGTCCACAGATGGCTGAGTTTGATCCAATGGTGAACCAGCTTCGAGCTGCTCTATCTACAGTCAAGGACCAACTCAATAAAGGAACCGTAACTTACGTAACTCGCGGACTCTAAAGAAACCCGAACCCAGCCGCTAGCCGATACTTATTGTAGCTTTTACTTACTAGAAACGTTTATTGAAAAGTAATTCCTAACGTACAGTGATTGAGATAATACGAATTATTTTTCTTCTATTATCCAAATGAGGCTTTGGTTTTCATTCAATTAGCCTGTTAATATGCCTGTAACGTGTGACCACTTGTCATACCTTACAGAATCGCATACTTTAAACTCGCGAAAAGAAATAACATATTTTAAAAGAAAGAACATCCCACGTGATGTTCTTTCTTTTTCAACATCCAACGTGATGTTCTTTCTTTTAAACAGCAATGTCCTTAGAGCATAGAGCATACCAATGGGCTTACATTCTGTATTGTGAAGATTCTTAACTTGGGTCTCACGCCAATATCCGGAACTGAGCATGCTACTCGATATTGTGTAGATTCTATACGGGTGTTAGAAGTCACGATCTGGAACTGAGAAAACTATTCCATATTGTGAACATGATTCTTGACGTGAGTCTCAAATCAAGTTCCTGAACCGGGCAAGCTATTCATTATTTTGAGGATGATTCTTGACGTGGGACTCGTATGGTCTCGAGTCCAGTGATTGTGAACTCGAGAATAATATAGTTATAGTGCCTTCGTTTACTTGTGATTACCTCGACTCCGCGTGCCTTGTAGATACCATGACGATTGTGAGTAGTGAAGGCTGAAAATAATTTTAATCAATTTGGTTTTTATCTCACTTGTGAAAACTGATGCGGAAATAGAACAAAGCTCGCAGGATGATAAGTCACGCGATTATTTCTATATCATCGTTATTTTTAAGCAACCACTTACTGGGTCTCTTTGATTTTATTTGTAGGTAACTAGTCACATTGTTATTATGATCTGAATTAAGTAAAGAAGATGAATTAATTAGAGAACTAGTCACATTGAAGAAGAGAAGCAATGCTTCTCATCTTCAATGGTCTACTGGTTGAAAAGGCGGCATGCTTTTAATTCCGTCATCTACGATATGCTTTTCGAGATGTTCATCATCTTTCAATACAGACAATGTATTTACGTTTGTCCTTAGTTCTCACCTCATATTACCTCGCGGATTTCTTGAACTACTTACCATGAAATTATTAAAATTATGCACCCTAATTTTTGCCGAATGATAAGTTACAGGTGTTTTTATTTGTAAATCGAGTTACTTCCAACATTTATAACAATTGCTTATTATTAATATTAATTCGAGAAGTTGATTTTAAACTTATATTGAGTGTCCAGTCTCTGCTATTTTAATTCCATCTAGGCCTACAATAACGCCGTAGCTTTCTTTAAAAGTTAAATTACGAGTAGTTTCAAATAAAATCCAGGTGTGCGCTCTCGCTTTATTTCGTCTTATATTGCCTGTAGAATGTGTATTTTTCAATTAAGCTTTGCATCTCGAAACGTGTGATGAACTTGTCATAATTTTATTATTATCATTATTACACTTAATCATGCTTAACGATGCATTTCCTGTGTTTGATTATGGCTCATGATTTATGAAATGTAGCTCCATCTTGTTGAAACCAGACATACCTGACTTCATTTCAGCCAGTTTTGGAAAAAAACGGTGTCGATCATTTGCGTGTACAGAGCTGCAGTCATCGCTCCTGCTCGTTCGATTTCCTTAGAGAAATATAAGAGTTGGTTATGCCGATTTTCGACACCGCATATCACCCGCTCTCGCGTTCACAATGAAGTGGCTGCAGGCGAAGTTCACGCGGATTGTTATCACTCCAAGAAAGTAGAGGAAAAAGCTTCTAACCATTTAAACCGCATGCTTATATATGTATAATCATTTGAACCATACGTGCTGCAATTCCACAACTTAGACTTGCTCCTAATGTCATAATATAAGCTCGTACAGCCCTATCTTCACATCTGAGATTATTCTAACACTAATCCCAAATTAATCGTACATTACCTAACCTTGTTGGATGTGGGAAGGTGGAGAGCGTCATGAGGCGTTCAGATGATATTGAACTTTTCTTATAGATTTTCCAGAAAGTACGATCTGCTGTAAAATGTACGTCACGATGAATGTTACAACAAAAATTACTTCAGTAAGTAGCGTTTTGAAAGTTAAAAGAGACCTTATTAGGTCTCTCACCCACACGCTACGCTGATCTACGAAGTTTTTCACCATCAACAAGAGTGGTACCTATGCCATCAACTACTTCCTCAAGCGCGTCATTACCGTTACGTTCCATATTCCACAATGCGCAGATCTCACTCGACAGCTCCCAACGACGCACTGGCGCCTGCGGACTGTTGACCAAATACACTCTCCTCTTAAATAAAATACCTCATTTTACCTCTTAGGCTCTCAGCCGGTAAAACTGGACTCGCACCGAGTACTCTGAGCGAAAATAAGCACCGTAAGTTTGGAGGTAGAGCCACCTCCTGGACAAAAAAGCGGCCGGTCTCACGGCCATGACTCAAGAAATTCATCGTACATGGAATATCTTCCAAACTACTGGACCGATTTCGGTGAAACTTGATATATAGATTCCTGACCAGTGACCACCTAAAGGTGATGTCTAGCCCGTGTGAATTTTCGCGATTTCGCCCGCGTTCTTGATTTATACGGTAATACGGGCAAAAATACGCATCGTACATGGAATCTTCCAAACTACGGAACCGATTTCGGTGAAACTTGGTATATAGATTCCTAACCACCTAAAGGTGATGTCTAGCCCTGTCTCTTATACACATCTAGATGTGTATAAGAGACAGGAATATAGGGATTTGGTAGGTTTCCATTCTAAAGGCTTTTTAATAAATATGGCAACATTTTGTGACGTTTCATCGTTGCTGACGCGTAGTGAAGTGTTTTGAGAGTCATGTGAAGGCAGCAGAACTTACGTAACGCATACATTTTTTTTTATAGTTTTTCATTTCTCGATGCGTCCTTAAAGTGTCGGAATATACCGCGTTTACCCTAGGTAGCCTACTGCCTAATTGACTGGGTAAAAACTTGATTTTTACAATAATTGAACAATTCTAATTGGGTAAAAACTTGATTTTTACAATAATTGAACAATTCTAATTATTACAGTCTACAGAATACAGATACCCAACTGTACTGGAATAATAATTGCATTTTCATTTTATCTGATGAATTGAAACAAAGCAGAATGGCCAATTTGGAATAGGGTAAACGCGTTATATTCCGTCACATTAAGGACACATCGAGAAATGAAAAACTATAAAAAAATAACCGTATGCGTTACTCGAGTTCTGTTTGCTTTATTTGACTCGCAAAACACCGTAACTCACTGGGTAGCGTGCATCGTCTCTCTTTGGATCTCAATATTTTCCCACTAGATGGCCAAGACCTAGTGTTTTGGCATTAGTTCGATGCGCAAATGTATGACGTCACCATTTCAACCATCAACAAACACATGGAACTAAAACAAAGCTTAATATAAAGGAAAAACTAAAGAGGTGACGGAATTACCCACGATGACGGAATATACCGCGTTTACCCTATCAGGTTAAATTATCAAAAAATCATGGATAAAATAACTTTCACAGTTCAGTTTTAAAATTTGTATGCAGAAATGTTTTTTGAATTAAATGCTTATTATTACCTCATTCACAGCAAATGTGGAAAACAACTCCCTAACTCCCTTTAAGGCCGCGACTGCAACTAGAGCTTTCACACCATTTCTGGAACCGCAAGATTCCCGCCAGATGAATAACCTCCTATCTAATCATTAACAAAAGTACATGATCACGCCGCAATTTTCCAAATGTACTTAGAATTCTTCATGCCGGAGCCATGAGATTTCAGAAATGAGTAGGAGAATTCCAATCCTGATTCACAGGCTTGCAACCAATCTGGAATATGAGCAAATTTTGAAAAAATTGTTGAGAAAAATTATTCCTTATAAGTAGTTTTCATAATTTTCATATGTAATTGTACTAATTTTTACAATTTTTGTAAAATAATTGGGCAAGGGCCATCAAAACAGGTAAAATTATTCTTGTACCAGACAGTAAAGTATGGCACAACATAGGTCAAAGATACCAAATTCATTGCCATAAAGTAAAGATGCAAAGATACAATTAACAGATGGCAGTCCAGGGTGCAAGCGCCAAGCAGTGTTGCCAATATATGGATTTTTAGTCCAAAGCATCGCCAGCCATTTTCAAGATGCGTCGTCAGGTAATTTTTAATAAGAAAGTGCTGCAAGCAACTTTGATAGTAAGTATATCCCTTACTCTCCCCACACTGCAACACTTACACACATCACAACTAATTTTTGGACAAGCTTCACTGCATCCTTATCCACCCAGTGTGCCGGAAACATTACTGTGTGCACTTGCAGTCTTTCAGATTTGCAGTAATTGCAATAATTTCAAAGTGATTTCTAAAATGCAATAATTTCAATCCAAATGTGGCGGCAACTGGGCAAGACTTTCAGAAGGCATAAATTTTGCTGCTGATGTGTTGCTAAAGATCTTTTGATATTCACCCACTTTCTGCACCCTGGGATATAGCCAATGCGTGATGATCTGCACAGATGTGTGCCCATTACAATCAATATGGCTAATGTGCATGGTGCAATTCTAGGATCAGCATTAACTTATCATTATGGTTTTTGAGATTAAATATTTAGAATGAAGTATAACTTTACATGAATCAATTGTTAAAGTACAGGAGCTGGTGGAGTGAGTTGCCATTTTGAAAGAGGCCTTGTCTGGATTCTGTTTCATCACTGCATCATGTGACTTGAATGTTGAATTCATACTTATACCTGAGCAAATACAACTTCCATAAATAAAAATTCATAACTGTAAATTGAAAAATTAATTGAGCAGTAAAATATCTTACTACTGTAGGTTGCAAAATCCTAGAATTAGTAGAGTTAGGCACTTGCTATCTGATACGGGAAAGAATCACATGGTCCACCAAACAAGGCAAAAGATCAGATGACCCTTTTGGAACACAAACTGGGGATGCAGGGCTAGTAAAAGCCAAGGCCTGTTAAAGAAATATCTGTTTTCTTCCTTTGTAAAACAACTTAAATTTGAATTTAATTCAAGCTTGAGTATTACTTTTTATTATATATATTTTTTCAATATAATACAACAAAAATATTTTTTGCCATTAGATGAATGCATATGCCAAGAATAATGAAACTTGCATAACCTTACAAATAGTTTCCAATCTTTCCATACTTTAATATTTTTTTTTTGGTTTTGTTCACATGCCTATGTTGGTTTTTGGTTTAGACCTGAATTTAAAGCAACCTGTTATCACAGCATCATTTCAATTGGCAGGCAGAAAAAGTTCCATCTCACAAAGTAAACCATGCAAAAAATAAGTATGTAAGTTAGAAATGGGTAGAGAATTGAGAAAATTTTATGATAAAACAATGTTTGCCAACTATGATAAATGTAAAAAGCTTAGGTCATGATTTTGACATCACATGCATCATTGACAAGATTGGCATTATGTGCAATGCATCATAGGGCAAGTATTTTTTTAAACATTCAGTAGGTCATTCTAGACTTCAAATATGCTTTACTTCTTATTAAGTTTAATAAAATTTAATTAATTATTTTTAATATTGAACATCAACAAATAAAATTGTGGTGCAGTGATTTAATTTGCTATTTATTTTCTCTTATGGCTGGAACTCCTAGAAAATTTTCACATATAGACTTAGTTATGGAATAGTATTATGGACATTCACATTACAGGAGTTTTCACGTTTTACTTGAAAATTCTCATTTCGGATGATGAACTTCACTTATAACAAAGCATGGAAATATGGGCATACAACTTTTAAGACAAATTAGTAGCATGAACACATATCTAGTACTCGAAATTAGCAATTAATGTAATGTGACTTTTGTAAACATACATTTTAATGTAATGAACAGACTCATGGGTCTCAAAGCAATTTTTTGTGACATATATATAGCCAAATTATAATTTATTTACCAAGTATATGTGATAAGAAAGATATTTTGAAGTTTCTCAATGTTAACAGCATTTAAATCTATGTGGAAACATGAATTTTTAGTATTGTTTAGTCACTTATTGCCTTGAAACTTGACTTCACTGCAGCCTTTTATTTTGGACAAATTCCAATTTATTGTCCGTTGAGCTGTTGGTGCTGCTGGCCAATGCTGTCATTTGTTTACTTAGTATGTAGTTGTATCTTGTGAAAAAACCTCATACTATCTTGGTGAGAACTTGTAGACTTATTTTATCACAGCCAAATTAGCTTTCTGTGTGATCATTGAGCAAAATATCAAAGTTTAAATTTTTGATGGATCTATCATTGCAGATGCTGACCCAGCTCCAAGATTCATGGATGCTCGTGTCCGTGCTATTCTGAAGGACTTGACGGGTTGTGACCATAGCAAAGTCTTCAGACATCGTGCCCTGTTGTCAATCTCTGCTCCTGAGATTGTGTTTTTCACAGATGAACAACTGAAAATTGTAAGTAATATTCATCTGTCCAACATTTTTTACTTACTTTTAAATATTATTGATGCTAGATTTGGAATATGATAAATATTATAAATATTATTTATTGATATTTATATAAATATTATAAATAAATATTATTGATGCTAGATTTTAGTTGCAAGTTCCATCATAGCTACCCA